ACCATCGCCCCGTGGACCTCCCAGACACCACAGGACTGAGCTGGAGGGAAGGGATCCTCCGGTGTCTGGAGAGCGTCCAGCCCAGATCCAGAACCAACCCGCCGAACAAGATATACCCACGGAGGGCTCCTGTTCCCGAGTTTAGTCCAGTGAGGGTTCCTGTCCCCGAGTTTGGCCCAGCGAGGATTCCAGTGCCCGAGTTTAGCCCAGTGAGGGCTCCTGTCCCCGAGTTTAGCCCAGAGAGGATTCCAGGCCCCGAGTTTAGCCCAGAGAGGGCTCCAGTCCCCGAGTTTAGCCCAGAGAAGGCTCCAGTCCCCATGTCCTGCCCAAAGAGGGCTCCAGTTCCCACGTCCAGCCCAAGGAGGGCTTCAGTCCCCAAGTCAAGCCCGGGGAGGGCCACAGCTCCCGAGTTAGGCCTACGGAGGGCCTCTAAAGACTATCCTCTAAGACTAAGATATTCTCCCCAAGGATTTTTTCGGGGGAGGGAGGTAGTAGGGGTCCGTCCGTGGAGGCCGGGCCGAGTGCCGAGGCCAGGCCCCCTGAGTTCCCTGCTCCGCCATGGCCTCCTGAACTGTCTGCTCCGCCATGGCCTCCTAGTCTGCTCTGTCATGGCTTTCTGAGTTCCCTGCTCTGTCATGGCTTTCTGAGTTCCCTGCTCTGTCATGGCTTTCTGAGTTCCCTGCTCTGTCATGGCTTTCTGAGTTCCCTGCTCTGTCATGGCTTTCTGAGTTCCCTGCTCCGTCATTGCCTCCTGAGTTCTCGGCTCTGCCATGGCTCCCCGTGCTCCCGGCTTCGCCATGGCCCCCGATCTCCCTGATCCGCCATGGCCCCCCGAGCTCCCAGCTCCGCCATGGTGCCCAGATCTGGTACTGCCTTGGAGGCGTCACTGTTCCGTACTAGTCTGTCCTGAGGGACCTCCAAGGTGCCCCCCCTCCCACCCCGTTGATGTTATGTGGCGCGAGGACGCGCCTTCCGGAGGGGGGCGTTCTGTCAGACTCTGTTCTGTGTTTTGTGAATGTCTGTTGATGTCTACCTCCTTTGCTAAGTGTGTTTTCCTGGTTCCCTTGATATAATTAAAATCCCCTTATTGATGGACTCCTGGTCTCCTCATTCCTTGCTCTGTGCTCCCTCACAGTAGCACCGTGACACTTACTTTGAACAATTCATTCGTGCATATGTTTTATTTTTAGAAAAAAAATACCTCAATGTTTAATTAATTTGATAACTGGACCTTCCAGACTTACTCTCTTGTGACGTATACAGGGCTTCTCCAATTATTTAGTCCCTGCAAAAGGTTGGAGAAATCTGACTGTCCCTGCAAGCTTGCATTCATCTGCCTTCAGTTTTGATTGCAACGCCCAGATCTCAAAATCAAATTAACAACCAATTCAACCAATTCCCTGCCCTACATTTTTCCTTTTCAATGATTTTTTTACACTCAGACAAACATCATAATTCAGAAGAAAAGATCTGTCACTTCTTCTGTTTCACCTCAGCTTTGCAGAGCCTGTTTTTTTTGTTTTTTTTACATTGCATTAATTTAAGCCCTCTATGTAAACTCCTTCTTTATGTGTGAAATGAAATTGAAATCTTTGTGCTCACATGGGCTACTGCTTATAGCAGTTGTAATATATTCTGATTTGCTATCATGATCTGCCCGTTTCTAACATTGTGATCCATTATAAGGATGTGCAGAGATGTAGGTGCTACACAGCCAAGAACAGTTTATTTTTTCCTCATTACCTCACTCTATCTGGCCAACCCAAGTGTCTGATCACCAAGCAGACTTGTTGACATGTAAATGTGGGCATTTGTCATGTGTTAATGTATTCACCTGTCTGGCTTAAACAGTTGCAGAAGTTCTGAACAGTTCTGAATCTGTTTTTGCAGCTTTATTATCATAAATGGTCTTTATTCACTGGGGAAGAAGTTTTCAGTTCTGAAAGTTTTCAGAGTTCAATTCTGAAGCATGTTCTCAGAAGAATATTTTCAAGCATAATTTGATTCCTGCTCATATTTCCTTTAAGTAAAATGGTCCTGGTCATAGTGTAGAAGTCAAATATGTCTTTAGCTGAACAAAAGCGTTCACTGTAGGCAGTATTGTTCTTGTAATTTTTCAAAGGGAATTCAAGCAGGGACCTCAGAGATTAAAGGTGTGTGGCTGTTACAGACAAGGCTCCAGTGTCGCCATGCATCTCCCAGCATGCCTTGCTAATAAGAGGCTAATTAATTTAAAGTCCTGTCCTCAGCAGAACTCTAACCTTTTTATGTTACTCCCAAAGTTGACCGATTTGGCAAACCCACAGCAGTTATTCTTTTATCTACATAAAAATTATAAATGTGTGAAGACACATTAAATAAATGTCCCTTCCACTAAGAACAACAAACATCCGATAGTATTGATTGAATATGCTGATTTAATTGAGGTTTACCCTCGTCCGGCTTTGTCCATTTATTAAATTACCTGGAAGACTAAAGGCCACCATCTGTGAGAGGATCAATTTTGTCATCAGTCTGCTCGCTTTGTCTTTACTAATTTCTCAAACATCCCCTGTGCTCCAACATACGAATGAGAAATGAGCAACGGCCACACTGAAGTTAACGCCCAAGCTCTGAGTTGTATGTTTCCTCAATTGAAACATATTGATCTGTTTTACCATTTCCATTCCTAGAGTTTCTCTGGACAAAATAGATAGAAGTATCGTTTTTAAAACCAAACAGCCTTTCTGGCCTAGTTTAGATTGAGTTTAAGAGGGGATTGAGAGTTTCTCAGAAATAAATCTCGGCATAATGGGATGCGTGACATAGTGACATAGTGCTGAATGCGCTGATGTTGCCGTCAGATGCGGTGACAATAAGGCAATAAATGAAACGCTAAGGAGGTGAAATAGCCGAGTTGACAATGAGCTTGTCTGTTGTCGCCTCTTGTTTAGTCAGATCAAAATGACGTGCAGTTGTTTATCTGAAGAGCCCGTGTCAGAGGGGTTTCGATAGTTACTTGTGCAGCTGTAAAAGAGGAGAGATCTGCCGCTTGTGTGGAATTAATGAAAAGTTCTCTCAGGGACTGCTGAATTATGCATGAGGAGAAACACAACTGAGGAACTTTTCAAACTGTATGAATTTTTTTTTTTTGACTAACTTTAGCTCTATTATAGTAGGTTTGTTTGATGGGTTCTTTAATCCTAATACTTTTCTCTCTCTTCAGTTTCTCTGCAGGTCGATATTACACCTGCACAGGGCGAGATCAGTGTTGGAGAGTCTCGATTCTTTTTGTGTGAAGGTAAGTTTTCGTGCTGACCAAGAACCTTCTGGCCCTCGTTGCAGTGCTTTGAAAAGTTTTCTGCAGTTTTTCAGCTTTGACCGCTTACCGCAGGGCTTTGTTAACTAGATAATTTTAGCCTTAGTTATGCCATTTATTCTTGGATTTTGTAAGATTTCCTTCAAGTTTCCGGTGTGGGTGAGGCTTCTTGGCGTGACACTATAGAAATAGAAACAGAGTGCCAGCTGACCAGGTTACATCTGGTTCCGATAGGGTTTTATATTAATAATATATTTGGAATTCAAAATCAATTTGACATTGATGTTATTGTGTTCTTTGTCTACCAAATTGTAATGGGTTTGTTTATCCGTCTGTATTGCATATTAATGCCAATCTTTCTCTCCTGCTGTCATTTAACCAGAAACATTAACACTGCACATTTTCTGCTTTATGAGCAAATGTGTTTCCTTCGGGAAAGGAAATTTAGTTTAGAGCAGGGTTTAGGGGTTTTCAAACTGGGCTCTAGGGAAAGGGTTGTTTGGGGTTTGTAAACAATTTCAGAGAAAAGAAGGTAAAAAAAAGAATTTGACATCATTTACGGTTTCATTCTGATCATGAGATTTTACTGTGATTATTTTATTCTGTTTAGATATATGCAGCAATAGGTTTTAATAGTAAGAATTTGATACAGTAAAACATTAAAACTTTTGTAACCTTATAAATGTTCTCATCAATTGAATACATCCTTGCTGAATAAATGCTGAAATAAAATAAATCTTACAGAGAGAGAGCACAAATACAAACTATTTTTGAATGTATGAATCTTTCTCGGCCTCTGCTGCCTTTATCTTGTTCACTGGGGTTTTTAAGCCAATTTTCTTTGCAAAACTGCTTTGGAACAGCATTTATTGTGAGAAGTGAATTTCAGTTGATAATGTTTCTCAACAGATTTATGCATCTAACTGATAGTGGTTTGGAAAAACAAACTTAGTACTAAATAAATATTTTCCAGTTTTTATTTCTTTTGGCTATAACACTATGAATGACAGTATAAAAACAATGATTTAATTTAGCAAATATATTGTTTTCATATTACATTTACTACATTTCATATACAGTAGAAATAGGGGCTTTATATATTGCAATATATATTTGTCTTTTATAGTTTAGGAAAGGGGATCATCGTATGTGAGTACTTGGAAGAAAACCCCTTTCACTCAATGACCACCTGTTTCTACTGTCTGTATTTAAAGATGTGTGTCCCCTGTTTATGAATCTTCTCAATGTTACCTTCTAAAAATCTGGTACACAGTTTTAGTGACCTGATTCCTAAAAGGTCTGGTTTTTCATGTTTTTGTGACCTAAAAATAGCAGTAATCTTCTAGATGATTCATTTGCTGAAATAGTACACTAGTGTGAATTAAATTTTAATGTCGCTGATGGTGTTCTATGTCAGCAAATATCACAGAGGACTCAGTAAACGAGATCCATGTGAATAAGGCTACAAGAGGAATACGTTAAACCTTTGTGTGCCTATATCTCACTTTGAAAAACGTTTTTCCTGGTTCCACTCTTCTGGGCTTCATTTGAAGACCCAAAGGCATGGAACAGCGGCTCTGATAATTGCTCTCAGCACTAGAGGCTTCACCAGTGCTGTGTCCTACGGTCCACTGATTTGGGTAATAGACTGGTAACCTGAGAATCGGTTGAAGTTTTAGGCTGTGCCTTCTGACAGCTATTGTGCCAGCGACACCTAATCCCAACTAATTCAAGCAAACAATTCAATCGCGCCAGGCCCGATTTGCTTTTGATTGATTCATCTCTGCTTTGTGGATGTTTACACAAGCTTAACGTTTAACAGATTGATTTATATGATGACACATTTAATTCATGAGATCACCTCATTAATGTTGATATGTTCATTTGGTTTGGGTTGTAGTTATCGGTGGGGCCAAGGAAATCGACTGGTTTGCTCCAACCGGGGAGAAAATTGAGCCGGGCAGATTGGATGTCAGCGTGATTCGCAATGACGAGACGTCCTCCACTCTCACCATCTATAACGCCAAGGTTGACAACGCTGGCACATACAAATGTGTGGCCAGCAGTGGTGATCGGGAAGCCGAAGCCACTGTCAATCTGAAGATATACCGTAAGATATAACATGTTTGATTCATCTGTGCTGGAAGAATATATGAAGTAGTATGGCAAAATTAAAGTTGTGATGTCAAATTTGAATGTATTGTACGGGAAAAACATATGAAGTTTGGCACACTAGTTGGAGAGGGTCTGAACATTCCTTGTGCCAATTGTGGGGTCTCCATCTCAATTTCTTTAGTGCCGTCAACAGTTTAAATTTTCACTTATGCTTCTGCTTATTGTATTTTCCAGAAAATAAATGGCACAAGTCGCACCGGGTCAAAATTACATTGTTGAGACAGAAAAAAATGAAATGTTGCATCAGTCAAGTAAATGTAATGTAAACGTAATGTAAAATGCCAGTAAATAAAACAAAAAATTTACAAACACTATAAACATGTATATTAGTTCCCCTCACTCAACAACAAATCCTTTAATTTTAATGGTATTCAGAACAGAACAGGAATGAAAAATGTAAGTATAAAGCAAACTAGGGCTGTTAAAAAAAAATTTGAATTTCGAATATTCATCGAATTTAAAATAAAAATCCACATTCGAATGCAAAAACGTTGCATTCGAATTTTAGGTGTCCGTTAAGGAGGCAGCCTAATCAGTGGCGCACGAGATGCGATGACGATTTAAGTGTCGTTGCATTATAATGTTTTTGTTAGCCTATCCAGTTGAAGCCACTAGATGCGGCGCTGCTGTGTTGGTCATTGAAAATACTGCGGAAAAAGAGAACATCAATGCGGAGAAGATCTTGTTTACATCAAAACTGAAACCAAGCCGTTCACACAGAACACATATTTATCGCATTTTCTAGAGGGACATCTATCACTGTTGCACTCGCATCTCATCACATGTTCAGAAAGCCAGGTAAAATTAATGCTTTTTTTCCCCCAATCCCACTGCATCTCATGTTTTTAAATGAAAAATGTACTCCGTGTGATTGGCTTTCCGCCCTTTGTATTAAACTATGCATACATACATGATGCTGTTTTGTTTATAGTTGTTTAAGCAACTTAATTATAATTGGTTTATAAACATTATTTTAAACATTATGCACTTTTTT